CTTCTCTCCTAAGCAGACGCTGAGGGGAGCATCTGTGTCATCCCAGACCTGGAAGCCAGGCCCACTCTGCCCTCCGCGGGGGAATTGATTATTTTCTCTTTTCCAGTTTCCCTCCCTCTGCCATGCACTTCCAGTTAAGTTCCACTTTGCAGATGGCAAACGTAGGGCCTAGGGTAGGAATAGCACCCACTGGCTGTTCTTGAGAACAGCCTTCTGCCCTGCGGTTCCTGCTGGTAGCTTATCCAGCGTCATACTCGGGATTCTGAGGTGCGAGGGGAGCTGAGATTCAGAATGTTGCTGGTGGATGGATGGATCAGGGATATGCAGAAGGGGCAGGAGATCTGTACCCACTGTGTTTGGGGGGAGGGGTTGGGCATCTGAGGGAGGGGATGGTCACTCACCTGCCTCTGTCCCAGGGGACAGTAAAAAGGCCAGCAGGAGCAGGAGAGGCTGCATCTTTCCAGGAAGGTTGCTGAGGTTGGGGAGGCTGCTGCTTCCTTGCTCTGTTTTAGCCCCCAGGAGAGGAAGGAGGTACACGTGGGCTCAGTGACCTCAAGTCCCCCTGTGGTTGTGTGGTGCTTCATCAGAGACGGCTTTCTATGAGAGCTTCCCCGCCCCCACTCCTTCTGCCTGATGATGTCCTCTGGCTGGTTGTGTGAGAACCATGCAATGACCACATGAGAACCCACAGTGGATGACTCAGGGCGGATCACATGTTCCAGCCTAGAGCAGGAACCCAAGGGTACAAAGTGGAGACTGTGGGCTGTGGTATCGACAAGTCGAGGTATTGGAGCCCCGGAAATCTGAGTCTCCACTGATAGAACCAGCAGTGCCTCATTTCCAAGTTGCTAAGTCTATCAGGATGATTTGTTTAGCAGATGTGTTTTTGGGCCCTTCTCTGTGCCATGACCAAACACATTGGAGGTGTGTCTCCTTCCCTTAGAGAGCCGTCTGTCTGGTGGAGGAGACAGAAACATCAGTGACCAGAGCACAGTATGGGAAGGGCCATAGCAGAGGGATGCAGAAGATGAGAAGAAAGCATGGCCACCATCTACCAAATCCATGTAGCAACCCATGCATCAGCACAGCTTCCTTCCTAGGGGATTTTTAACATCTCTTTTTAAGTTACAAATGCTCAGAGTGATAGAGTCCATCTCTCTTGTCCATGTTTTTAACAAAAGTCCTGCACTTGACATTTATTGGCCTAAATTAACAAATCATTATGACCCTAGGAATTGAACCCACTAATTGACTCAATCCTAGGTCAGTTTCCTTTGGGTAGGCTGGAGTCAGTCCCACCCAAACCACATGGACTAAGACTGGGAAAGGGCTGAGTCCCCAAAGGAAGTTCAGATGACTAAATTGCCAATACCGTGTGAAGTGAGAAAGCTTACCAGGCAACCAAAGACCAGTAATTATCCTTTCAATATTCTGTGTTCTCCATCTAGAGAGCCACACTTCTGATGGAGCCGGCCTGGCACATCATAGACTCACATTCGCTCAACAAACTCTGCTGATGATCTCGCTATGATGGAAGTGAAGGACTGTTGTTTCTAACAGCCCAAGCCCAATCCTGTTTAGAGAACAACTAAGCATATCTGAGCGCTTACGGCCTGGTGATTTAATTTCCCTCTTTACATTTTCTGTACTTCACAATTTTTCTACGAAGAATATTCTGTATCAAAATACCTTGATTCCGGTGTAAATATTCTCCTCATCAAACCAAGCACATTTATCAAACCTCTACCTTTTTGCACCTAGCTTACCCAGTAGTAGACATTTTAAGAATGAAATCACCTTCTGATTATAGTGGTGATAAATGTTCGATAAGAAAATTTGGAGACTAGAAAGGAACAATGCCACTCCTTTTCCTCTCACCAGCAGACAGCCTGTTACTATGAGCAGTGCGTTTTTAAATACTTGGGATCATATTATATACACAGTACAGTTTTCTTTTGTCCTCATTTAACTCTACAATTTAAGCATCTTCCTCATGCTCTTAAAAATCTGGTAGTCAGTATCACTATAGTATTTCTTTCCCAGATACTAAAGAATTCAACATGCAACTATTTCCTAACATGTTGGAAAATTTTAAAAATGAGTTAAGTGAAGAGGAAACAATTAAAATTACCTGATTTCCCATCACTCATTGATAATCATCTTCAATGACTTGAAGTATGATCTAACATTTTTCCTCTCTTGTATATCTGCATATTTTAAAATTCAAAGGGAGTTATGCTAAACACAACTCTATGACCCTTTATTAAAAATTGAGATGAAATTCACATAACACACAGTTAAGTATTTTAAAGTACAACTCAGCGGCATTTAGTGCATTCAAAATATTGTGCAACTACCACCTCTCCCTACTTTTGAAACTTTTTCATCACCCAGAAGAACAACCAAATGTACCTGGTAAGCTGTGGCTCCACAGCACAGTGAGTATCGAATCACTTTCCCTCCTCCCTCTCCCACCCCTGGTCCCGCCCCCTGGCAGCCTATAATCTTCTTTCCGTCTCTATGGATTTTCGCATTCTGGATACTTCATATAAAAGGAATCAAGCGGTATTTGACCTGTTGTATCTGGCTTCTTTCACTTAGCGTAATGATTTTGTGATCCATCCAAGCTGTGGCATGTATCAGTATTCATTTTTTTTAAAGGTAAATAGTACTCCTTTGTACACATATACTACAATTTATCCATTCATCTGTAGGTAGACATTTGGGTTTTTCCCACCTTTTGGCTATTATGTCTAATTCTGCTGTAAATATTTGTGTAGACATTTCTGTGTGGATCATATGTTTTCATTTCTCTTGGATACATACCTTGGAGCAGAATTTCTAGATCATATGGTAATCCTATGTTTACATTTTTGAGGAGCCATCAAAGTTTTTACCTCAGTGGTTGCACCATTTTACATTCCAACCACCAATGTACAAGGCTTCCCATTTGTCCACATCTTCGCCAACACGTATTTTTCTTTCTTTCTTTGTGATTATAGCCATTCAAATTGTTATGAAGTGATATTTCACTGTGGTTTTGATTTACATTTCCTTAATAACTACTGATGTTTGTATCTTTTCCTCTGTTTGTTGGTCATTTGTATATCTTGGGAAAATGTCAGTTCAAGTCCTTTGCCCATTTCTTAATTGAGTTCTTTGTCTTTTTGTTGTTGAGATGTAAGAGTTCTTTATGTATTCTGGATACTCAACCTTTATGAGATACATGATTTGTAAACATTTCCTCCCATTCTGTAGATTGTCTTTTCACTTTAGTGATACTATCTTTAGTACACAAAACTTTTTAATTTTTATGAAATCCAATTTGTCTAGTTTATCTTTTGTTGCTTGTGTTTTTGGTGTCAAATCTAAGAATCTAGTGCCAAATCAGAGGTCATGAAGATTTTCTCTATGTTTTCTTCTAAGAGTTTTATGGTTTAAGCTCTTGCATTTAGGCTGTTGATCCATTTTGAATTATTATTGTGTATGGAGTTAGGTAGGGATCCAACAACATTCTTTTCATGTAGTTATCAGGTTGTACCAGCGCCATTTATTGAAAATAGCATTCTTTCCCCACTGAATGGTCTTGGCACCCTTGTCAAAAATGAATTGGCCATAGATGTTCAGATTTATTTCTGCGTTCTCAATTATAGTCTATTGGTCTAAATGTCTATCCTTATCCAGTACCACAGTGTTTTCGATTTCTGTCACTTTGTAGTAAGATTGTTTTTTTGAGGAAGATTAGCCCTGAGCTAACATCCGCTGCCAATCCTCCCCCTTTTTGCTGAGGAAGACTGGCCCTGAGCTAACATCCATGCCCATCTTCCTCTACTTTATACATGGGATGCCTACCACATCATGGCTTGACAAGTGGTGTAGGCATCCGCACCTGGGATCTGAGCCGGTAAACCCCAGGCCACAGAAGCAGAACAAGCAAACTTAACCACTGTGCCACTGGGCTGGCTCCAGCTTTGTAGTAAGTTTTGAAACCAAAAAGTATGAGTCCTCTAACTTTGTTTTCCTTTTTCAATATTGTTTTGGCTATTTGGGGCCCCTTGCAATTCCATATGAATTTTAGAATTGGCTTTTCCAGTTCAGCAAAAATGGCCTTTGGAGTTTTGATAGAGATGGCATTGACTCTGTAGGTGGCTTTGAAGATTATTGCCACCTTAGCACTATATGTCTTCCAATCCATGAACATGCGATGTCTTTCTGTTGAATTAGTCCTTCTTCAATTTTTTTCAGCAACGTTTTGTAGTTTTCAACATACGATTTGTTCACCTCCTTGGTTACATTTAGTCCTAGGAATTTTGTTCTTTTAGATGCTATTGTAAAGGAATTGTTTTCTTATTTTCCTTTTTGGATTGTTCATGGCTGGTATATAGAAACACAACTGATCTCCTACCCTACACATTTTTTAATTCATTTCTGATCTCCTGTTCAGGTCTACTCCCCTTTATGTTGTTAATGTCATATTGATATCTTTATACATGTGTACCCATAAGTTTTACAAGTATTGGTTGATGCATTTCTTATTTGATAATTATTTATTATTATGCATTTATGTATTTTAAATCATATAGGAAACAAAAAGAAGAGTTACAAACCCAGAGTAGACTAATACTAGCTTTTATATTTATCTTTGTAGTTCTTTTTACTAGAGATCTTTTTTCTTATTTGGATTCAAGTTGCCATCTAATGCCCTTGTTTCAGCCTGAAGGACTCCTGTTAGCATCTCTTGTAGGGCAGGTCTACTAATGATGAATTCCCTTAGCTTTAGTTTATCTGGGGATATCTGTATTTCTCCATTTTTTTTGCAGGGCAATTTCACCAGATATAGAATTCTTGGTTAACAGACTTTTTTTTCCTTTCAGTACTTTAACTATATCATCACACTGCATCCTGCCCTGAGTGATTTCTGATGAGAAATTGACAATCTTACTTTGAATCATACGTCCATGATAAGTCACTTCTTCTTGATACTGTCTGTATTTACTCTTTATCTTGGCATTTGACAGTTTGATTATAGTGTATCTCAGTGTCGATCTCTGAGTTTGTCCTCCTTGAAATTTGTTGAGCTTCCTGGATTTGCATATTCCTATGTTTCACCAGATTTAGGAAGTTTTGGGCCATTATTTCTTCACATATTTTTTTCTGATCCTTTCCTTTTTCTCCTTCTGGGACTCCCATAATGCATCTGTTAGTATTCTTGATAGTTTCCCACGGGTCCCTTAGGCTCTGTTCATTTTCTTCATTCTTTTTTCTTTCTGCTCCTCAGACTGGATTCTTTTCTTTGCCCTGAAAATTCATTGATTCTTTCTTCTGCCTGGTCAATCTATTGTTGAATCTCTCTTGTGGAATTTTCATGACGGCTGTTGTACTTTTTAGCTTCTAAATTATAATTTCTGTTTATCTATGGATATTATCTACTTTTTCATACATTGTTCTTGATTTCCAGAGTTCCTTTCATATTTTCCTTTAGTTCTTTGAATATTTTAAAGACAGCCAATTTACATTTTGTCTTATATGAACAATGTCTGTGTTTCTTCAAAATGTTTTCTGTCAATTTATTTTTCCCCCTGTGAATGGATCATATTTTTTTTGTTTCTTTGTGCCTGCAATTTTCCAATGAAAAGTGGGAATTTTGCATATTGTAATGTGGTAGCTCTGGAAATAATGCTGTCCCTCTGCCCAAGGGATGGGCATATTTCTTGTAGAGTGGTACAGTTATCCATTTGTTTAGTGACTTTTCCAAACTTTTTTACAAGGACTATATTCCTTGTTTGTGTGGTCACTGGAGTCTCTGTTACCTTATCTCTATCTAGTTGTGTCTGAGAAAACTGCTTCAATCTCTGTCAAGACAAGAAGCAGAGAAATATTTCAGAATACAGTTCATGGCTTTGGTGGTGTTTGAAGTCTCAAGTAACAAGTCAGTCCCTTGATAAGACAAGGCATGACCGGGTCAACACAGCACAACACTATGGCAACTTTATTTGCTCTGTTTCTGGGATGACTGGTGGTCATTCTGCTGACTGGAAGCTAGAAAATTCAGGGCTTTATGTCCACTCCAGCCCAAAATGACTCTCCTCGGAATTGCTAGAGGTCCCATAATTTCATTAATCACTCCCATGCTTTAGTATATTTGGAAAGCACCAGCTCCTCATATAGGAAGGAAAAGTTAGAGGAGGACATGAAACCCCTGAGTCTCAGGCCCTGCCCTTTCCCACCACCCTCATTCCTGGCCCTCACCCAACTTGGTTTGGCTGTTTAACAGTGAGGCTAGGGCGCTGAACTTAGCCACCTTTACAGCATAGACTGATAAGCCTAAGAATGGAGGGAGTGGGAAATTCAAGGAAAATTTTCTTTTAACCTCAATGGCTAGTCAAATGGCCAAGGTCATGGAAGAACATCCTCACAAATCCAGAAGTTGTAATACAAATTTAAGGGAGTGAAAAGCTCAGTGAGGAGGCAGACATGTGGGAAAAGTGTATAGTACAGGCGCCTTTCCTAGAAAGAATCCTACTTGGAAGAAGGCCTCAGTGGAGAGACTAAATTTCTTCTCAGATTTGACCAAATAGAGAAAGACTAAAAGATGGTGAAAAGCATTTATGACTTGTAATTTTAAGAAGCTGTGTTGAAGTGAAAGTTTATAATAAAAATATATCTAGAAAAGAAGATATGATTCTTCAGTTTGTTGAACAAATGAGACAATAATATCCAATGTCATAATATCGGCTAATATTTATTGATCACCAACCACTGATCCTTGCCCCACCATCTGAGTTCCTACTGATGTTTCTTCCATTTCACAAATGAGAAAGCTAAGACCCTGAAGAGCTAAGGGACTTGTTCCACATGACTCAGCTCATGAGAATGGAGGGGGACTTGGGATGAGAATGCAGGGATCTGATTCCAAAGTCTGGGATCTTCTCCACACCTCTACAAGCTTAACCATATCATATAGAGTTCAAGGAATCTGGGGGAAATTTAAGCAGGTGCTGAGGAGTAAAAGTTTCTATCTCTATCTTTAATATGTGACTCTAGTTCTCTTAGAAAAGAAAGATTCCTCAGTGTCCACCATACTGTGATGGAAATTCCATCATATTGTGATGGAAAATGTCCTTGACATCACACAATCCCTTTGCTTTTATTCTTCATTCTCCTGATTTTCTTCCCTGACGTGTAAGAGAATGTCATGCTTGGCCCATGAGGGGCAATCCCCTTGGGCCTTAGCCTCTTACCGAATCACATCTGGTACTTATTGGATGTGGTCAGGGCCATTCCTTGCAGCAATGACAATGGCACAATGACATGACATTCCTGTACTCATACATGGCATTTGAGTCTGCTGCTATAAACCACTTTCCTTGAGTCTGATCATTCTCTTAAGTTCAGCCTGAAATCTGAACCTACAAGCATAAAGGGCCCGAGGTGATTTCATTTGACCATGAGACTCAGCCATGCTCTTGAGAATAGATTCCTGCCTCAGGTAGGAGTTGTCTCTACATTCCTATTAGGAAGCTGGGATGATATTTAGAATTTCTGGGGTGTTTCCAGGGCATCAAAAACAGTTTTCAGGGAAAGACGTGTCAGTGAAGGAGAACCTAGGCTATGTGTGGGAGTGAGGAAGATTGTACTTCCGTTTTGCCTCTGTAGTGGTAAGGATAAGGGAGAGAGGGCAGGATTGGGGAGAGAAAAATGTCTATAAGACAGATATAAATTTATGAGATTCCCAGAGTTTTGGTAACCACTAGAACACCCTTTAATTTCTCCTTGTTGCCCACTCTAATCATTGCCTAGCCTCCAACAAAGAGCAACGTGTGGATGTTGGCTTGGGGATAATTCAGTAAAGCTCTGGTGTGGGTCAATGTCTGGGGTGAGAGTAGACAGAGGACTATAGGAAGGGGGAGGAGAAGTGGGCTTGGGTGAGAACAGTGTGCCCACCTCCTCCCCACGGGGGGCAGGTGTTGACCGCACTTCTGGGTGGGAGCAGGTTGGAAGGGAGTGATGTTCTGGGTTGTGATGTCAGTTTTGATGTGACCTTGGATCACACTCAAGACTCCTCTCCCCCAAATCTCTACCTGAGAGTCTTTAACTCCCCATTAATTTAGCCCACCTAGGCCATTTCCTTTCCCCAAAGCATTCATTCCCACAGGGCCTAAAGGTCACACCTTAACCTTCTGGAGTAAATAAGTTCTTTCTTCTCCCATCTCACTCAGGAGCTAGTGCAGTGTGCTTTCTTACTGTGTCATTACGGGATGTGGCAAATGGTTTGGTTTGGGGTAGATAAGTGGGGTGCTGCTGAATCATTTACGAGAACCTCTAGTATACGCGTGCAAAATTGGTGGGTCTTTGTCTTTCTTTCTGTCTCATGGTTCAGCGTAGATATAAGGAAGTTTTATATTTGCAGAATATAATTCACACCTAAGAATTCTTGTGTCATGTCTCCTATCTGTCCTCCAGTCTTGACATGACATTTGCTATTAGTAGGGCCCCCGCCCCCCACTGCTATTAAACTTCTATTTCTGACCAAGTACTAGGAAGTAGCACTGGAACCACATGTGGACAAAGCAGAAGATCTGGACCATTCTAGCCTGCCCTTCAAAGGCTGCACATGAGAAATCAGGAATTGTAGAAACCTGCTGGGCCACTGAGAGCATTTTACCCTTCAACCTGCTGCAGGATAATTTACTGAGATACCAAAGACTATTATTCTCTCTGTGCTCTCTCTGGCTGAATTTGCCAGAACCTCCAGCATATGATTGCAACACTCTAAACATTTTTAATGTTGCCTTGTCTCAGGTTCCTAAGCGAGGAAAATGGAGGATGGACCTGTTACTGGACCACACTTAATTCATGAAGTCATTGAACTCCACCACTGAGGGTTTTAGGAGTCAGCTTTCTGGCCCCCTGGTGATGAAATGTTAAGACTTTGGCTGAGCAGCTCTGAGCATCTTAAATACCTACACATAAATACCTAGTCATGAGTGACGTTCGATAACTCCTGAGGAGATGATGGGGACCAGGATGAGTGGAATTAGCATTGGCTTGTGTCTTTGGCTTGGCCCTTGCCTCCCAGAAATCTCATCTTTCCTGAAGTCTCACGGGGGCAGGGAAGTTAGACATTTTTGTTGACCCCATAGAGGATATAACAGATAAGAGGCAGAAAGCTTTGTCCCAAGAGGGTGCCACCCTGGGCTCTGCTGAGTGTCTCAAAAGAGAGGGTCCCCACTGGTAAACCAACTCCCAGCATACATGTGTAGGAAAAGATGGGTGGGGGAGGGGGTGTGCATCATGCTATCTTCAAATGGGTCTTTATTTGGTCTCTGCTTTTTAACACAATACAGCTTGGGGGAAATCAGGGAAGAGAGAAGGCCAAGGGCATTACTATGAATCGACACCTCACTATGTTCCCAGGCATATGTGATTCATATATATGATCTCACTGAATTCTCCACTCTCTGCATGGGCATTCTCAGGAATCACATTGTAAAGTGAAATAGACCCAGAGAAATTAAATGATGTGCTCAAGGTCACATGGTTACAGAAAATGTGTACACACACATACATGCACAGCACACATGCATGCCCAGCTGCAAACTCTCTTTTATATCACTCTAAGAGGTGGTGGAAGCCACAGCGGGCAGATCTTAGCTCAGCAAAGGAGAGTGTTCTGACAATCAGAGTTCTCTTAGAATGGCACTCAGGTGGCCCAGGAGCTTCCTCTCCACGGAATTGTTGTGAGAGAGGCTGGCAAACAGATTCCTCAGGGGCCAGGAAGGTTATCTTGGGTGTAGACATAAGATCACTTAAAACTTTGCAGCTCTGAGCCTTTATCTCTCAGTTGAGGACGACCTGACCTGGAGCTTAAGAGCCCTGAGCTCCTGCTCAGTCATATCAATTTCTGGGCCTCATGTCCTCCTCTAACATAAGAGCATCGGGCTATAGCAGAGGCTTTGTAAACATTGTTAGCCATAGAAATCTCTCTCAAATGGGTTATGCATGTGCCCAGGTAGCTTTTTGAAATCACATTTCCATACCTATACCTGTATCTACACATATGTACATGGACACATGTATGCATATTTCACATATGATACACACTGAAATATATGTCTGTATGTGTTCATATATACTTGTGTATCATATATATTTGTGTGTGTATAGTTGTGTATTTTTGTTTGTTTTGTTCCCTTCCTTTTCTCTTTCTGAGCATGATCTTGGAATATCTTTGCTTCAGGAGGATTTTCAGCCCTCAGACCAAAGCTGTGTGAACACAACTGTTCTCCCCATGTTATGAAAGTGGCCAAGATCGTTAAAATATTCTGCTGCAGAGGTCTTTGTGGCAATAAGATGTGAGAAGGCACACCTGCCAGGGTGACGAGAACCCAGAGGGAGATCTTACCACATGTGAAAGTGAGTCTGCTGTGTGTGTGTTTTGGTCGGGGGATATTCATCTACTGCTGTGACTGGACTGAACTCTAAAGCCAGATAAGCATCAAGATCTGGGAGGGGATTCCTGACCTGCATGCCCAGCTCCACTGACCAGGTCCATGGGAACCAGTGTCAACACAGAGGCTCTTATCACACATGTGGCCTCCAAGTTAAGAGCTGGCCAATTTTGAGGGTCACTGTGACCTTGAATGCTAAGGAGCAGTAACCATGGTGGCCTGTGGGTTGGAGGCTGTTCTCCATTTTTCTGACACCACGTGAGCCTCCCTGATCTGGTGTGATTTAAGGAAGATAAGGAACTGGGGTATGTCTTCCAAGTCAGTGTTTGTACTGAACTTTTTACCCATAGGGCACCCTAGATGTAAACCATAAAGAAATGGCTGTCCTGGTTGTGTTTTCCTCCTTGTATCTCTCTTCCATCCAGAGGTGGGGCTCCACTGACCACAGGACTGGAAACTTCATTTCTTATCCCAAACACTGCTGTTCAGGAGACAAATGGGACAGTGCACATGAAAACTGGAAGTGGTAAGACAGATGGATGTTGTTATTCTCTGACAAGATGATTTTCACTTGTTTGGATTTCCCCCACAGATTCAGAGCAATCTGACCAGCCTGGACAAGAAAGGAAACTTGGGGAAATTCTGATGAAAGTCCTTTGGGCTGTAAGTTTCATGAGGGTAGGACTGGTGTCTGCCACGTTCACTTCTGAGCCTCCAGTGCCTGGCACATAGCGGGTGCTCGATATTCGTTTGCTTGCTGATTGATGGCAAAAGTTATGCTGATCAGTCTCTCTGCAAAGACTCCCTCCCTTACTTGACTGGCAGCTATAGCCCAGGGTGGGCAGCAAAAGTCTGAGGGCAGAAGCCAGGTTACCACAGGTGACAAAGAGACAGGCTCTGAGTGAATGGTCTATGAGCCAATTCTAGCCCATAGGGGCCATGGGGCTGGATGTGAGGAGCTCATCCAGGGAAGAGGTGTGGAAAAGCAGCAAGCCGGCTCATAACACAGCAAGGGTTTATGAGGAGGTGGTGGGAGGTGGGAGAGAGGAACATGCTGAAAACTGTGGAGAAACATAAGCAGAGGCTAGCCTGCCCACAGCTGGTACCCAGTGACTGTTGTTCAACAAATAGAAGAGAAATCAGTCATTTCCATCTAATTATTAAGGTCATGGCAGCCTCCATGCAGGGAGGTCTGCACTCTTCCCCAAGAAAATGGTCAGTCAAAGAGGGGGCTCTCCTTGATCTCTTTCTCCAGGACAGAAAGCTCGGGATCTTGGTGAAGACCTGCGAGGGTTCCATTTTTCATCCAAAGGAGACCATGCCCTGGGCAGCATTGTTACACAGGAGGAGCCCCCAGAGTCTCCTGTACGCAGAGGAAGGGAGGACTGTGCTGGGCTCCGTGTGGTCCTGCTCTCCCCATCTCCCCGAGGTGAGTGGTCTCTGTTTGGGTCTGTGTGGGAGATCAGGGGCAGTCCTGGGGTCCAGCCCTGGCCTCGAGTGTTCTCCCAGCTTGACCCTGGCCTAGCCCCTACCCACTGAGCTTCTGTGAGGCTGCACCTCTGGAGCTGCTGCCTGGCTTTGCGCAGGCCGTGCTGTCACACAGGTGTGAGCTTGAACTTGGCTCACTAGGGCTAATCCCCGGCTTGGGGATGCAGAGCCTGGGAGAAATAGCCACCATTTTCTTCACACAAAGGCGTAGTTTAATACCCAGTAGCCACATGGTGAGAGTCCTGAGGGGGTGCCTGTCCATACTTACAGCTGTCAGTGGGGGCGGCTTTTTCTGAGGCTCCGTATTACTTTCCTATGGCCACTGCAACACATTCTCACCAACTTGATGTCTCTAAAGGGTGGAAATGTATTTCCTCACAGTTCTGGAGGCTAGAAATCCAACATAAGTTTCCCAGGGAATCTGTTTCTTTCCTCTTCCAGCTTCAGGAACTGCATTTCTTGGGTCACAGCCCCTTCTTTCACCTTCAAAATACACAAAAATATAATTCAAGGAAATACCAATAAGCCAAATTAGCAGGAAAAAAATAGCATTATCTAATATTCATCGCCTACTTACTACCGCCACCAACATTTTCCTGTCTATTTTAATAGGTATTTTACTATGGAAATATGTATACTTCATAAAATAAAAAAGGGATAATGTTACTCATAAGAATTTTCCCTTGTTTTATTGAGGTGTAATTGACATATAGCACTGCGTACGTTTAAAGTATACAACACAATGACTTGAATTGCGTATATTGTGAAATAGTCAAAGCAATGATTTAGTTAACATCCATCATCCTTCTAACATGATTTGTCTTGGTCCCTGCAGTGCAGGGGGTGCTTCAGCCTCGGTCCTCTGTTCTAAGATTTTCTCAGTGGTGTTATGTTCGTGAATAGTTGTTGGTTGTTCTTCTCATGAGGGGGAGCAAAGTCAGGAATGACCTATGTTGCCATCTTGGTGACATTGCTCTCCCACACATGAGATTTTGTAACCTGCTTCTATCACATGGTCATATATGGCTGTCAGGAAATACTAGTCATCATTTCAATGGCTGCTTCTATTTTGTCATTTGCATGTGGCATATGAACTTACAGCAATTTACTTACTGATGCTCTTTTTGCTTTAGTTCAAGGTTGCTCTCATTTTTAAACTTTTTGCTAGTATATACCACATTGCAATGAACAACCTTTAAGTACTTGTCCCATTTTCTGAGAATAAGTACATAAACTGGGTTTGCTAGTTCAAAGCATACTTGCATTTTTAATAGATTATTCCATGAATTATGTTTTCTATTTTTTTATTTACTTTTTTCAATTTTTATTTTTTTTGGATGTACATCATATTTCGAATTCTGTATACATTACATCATGTTCACCAACCGAACACTAATTATAGTGCATCCCCTCACATGTGACCCTAATCACCCCTTTTGCCCTCCCCCGTCTCTCCTTCCCCAATGGTAACCACCAGGCTAATCTCCAATGCTATGTTTTTTTTTGTTGTTGTTTTTGTCTTCTACTTATGAGTGAGATCATATGGTATTGGACTTTCTCCTTCTGACTTACTTCACTCAGCACAATACCCTCAAGGTCCATCCATGTTGTCACAAATGGCCAGAATTCATCATTTCTTATGGCTGAGTAGTAGTCCATCATGTGTAAATACCACATCTTCTTTATCTATTCATCCCTTCAGAGGCACCTAGGTTGCTTCCATGTCTTGGCTATTGTGTATAATGCCACAATGAACATAGGGGTGCAAGTATCTTTATGCCTTTGTGTTTTCAAGTTCTTTGGATAAATACCCAGCAGTGAAATAGCTGGATCATATGGTAGATCTATCCTTAATTTTCTGAGGATACTCCAAACTGCTTTCCATAGTGGCTGTACCAGTTTGCACTGCCATCAGCAGTGAACAAGGGTTCCCTTCTCTCCACACCCTCTCCAACATTTGTTGTTTCCTGTCTTGTTAATAATAGCCATTCTGACCAGAGTGAGGTGATACCTCATTGTAGTTTTGATTTGCATTTCCCTGATAGCTAATGATGTTGAGCATCTTTTCATATGCCTGTTGGCCATCAGTATATCTTCTTTGGAGAAATCTCTCTTCAGATCTTTTGCCCATTTTCTAATTGGATTGTTGGTTTTCTTGTTGTTGAGCTGTGTGAGTTCTTTGTCTATTTTGGATATTAACCCCTTATCTGATATGTGGTTTGCAAATATCTTCTCCCAATTGTTAGGTTGTCTTTTTGTTTTGTTGATGGTTTCCTTTGCTGTGCAGAAACTTTTTAGTTTGATGTAGTCCCATTTTTTCATTTTTTTTTTTGTTTCCCTTGCCTGGTCAGACATGGGACTTGAAAATGTGCTACTCAGACCAAAGTCATAGAGCATACTGCCTAGCATTTTTTTGACTTACTGCACACATTAGCAAATTGCTATCTAGGGAGAGGGTGGAGCAAAATGGCAGGGTGAGCTGACCCGGGACTCTCTCCCCTCCAAACCACAACAAAGCATTGGAAAAACTGAATTTCAGCCAATAATCCTAATGCCAGACCATCAGAAAACTACAGAAACATGACCACAGAGGACGGAGAGGCTGCAGCCGGCCTCGCAGGAGCTGTAATGGGACCAGAGATCACTTCACTCCCTCCCCTAGAGACTGGGATCACTGCCACAGGTGAGGGAAGGAGTGGGGGAGGGGCCGTGTGACCAGGGATCATCCAGGACTCCCACAGCCACTGCAGTGGAAACCTGCTGATGGGGGAAAGCTTCCATGCATGAGGACCCATCAAACCAGGGCCCCGGTTGACCAGAGAATGAGAGCTGGTCAGAATCCAGTTCGGTGGGCGAGAGAAAGTGCCCCTCCTCCCCAACCCGCGCTGGGCACGGCCATCTTGCCTGAAGGCGGAGAGCTCTGAACACATGGCTCTCATCCCCCATCTACTGGCAACAGGCTGTAACTGCAACCGAATACTATCATCATCCGCAAAAACCACTCCTCTACCATCTAGCAATTTATAAAAGCTCCAGACAAGAGGGAAAACAATAAAAGCACAGAATTAAGTCCTGAGGACTTGGAAATAGGTAAACTAAGTGAAAATGAGTTCAGAGTAGCTATCATCAAAAAACTCAATGAGGTAGAGGGAAAGATAGAGAAACAAGTCAGGGAGTTCTGGAGTTACTTCACAAAACAGATTGTAACTATAAAGAAGAATCAAACAGAAATACTAGAGATGAAAAATACAATGGATCAGATAAAACAGAATAAGGATACCCTGAATGCCCGTGTAGATACCATAGAGGAGCAAATTAGCATAATCGGAGATAGACAGGCTGAATGGCTCCAGACAGAGGAAGAAAGAGAACTAAGAATTAAAAAGAATGAGGAAAATATCAGAGAAATAGCGGATTCAATGAAGAGAAATAATTTAAGTATCATCGGAATTCCGGAGGGCTTGGAAAATGAAAATGGAGCAGAAAGTGTCCTAAATTAAATTATAGAAGGGAACTTCCCAAATCTAGGGATTGAGGGAGAAATGTGTGTTGAGGAAGCTTTCAGATCTTCTAGATTTGTCGATGTAAAAGGACCTACTGCAAGGCATATAGTAGTAAAAATGGAAAAAATGAAAGACAAAGAAAGAATACTCAGGGCAGCAAGACAGAAGATAATAACCTACAAAGGAACTCCTATCAGACTTTCAGCGAATGTCTCTACAGAAACCTTACAAGCTAGGAGAGACTGGAGTGATATATTTAAAACTTTAAAAGATAAAAATCTTCAGCCAAGAATACTCTATCCAGCAAAAATATCCTTCAGATATGAAGGAGAAATTAAATCTTTTCCAGACAAACAAAAGTTAAGGGAATCTGTAACCAAAAGTCTTCCATTACAAGAAATCCTCAAGAAGGCTCTCTTACCTGAAAAAAAGAAAAAAGGGACAAAGGGGTCACAAACCACAGAGTAGGGAGACAGATTGATAGAACCAGAATAGGATAGCAAATATTCAACTATAGCATTAGGATAAAGGTAAGGAAACCACCAAAGTAAAGACGATCTTATCACTCTGACTACAAACTCATAACACGAGTTGGAATAAGAGATGAAAATAATAATTTAGGAGGGTAAGAGCAAAGGGACTAAATCAGTCTAGGCCAAGTAAGTAAGAGACCACCAGAGAATAGACTATATTATACATGAGACTCAAAATACAAATTTCACGGTAGCCACTAAACTAAAAAACAGAACAGAGCCACAAAACATAAATAAGGAAAAATCTAAGAAACCCAGCATAAGAAATTGCAGAAGTCAATGGGTAGGCTAAAACACACAGGACGAGAAACACAGGTAAGGCAGGAAAACCAGATAACGAGTGACAGAATGACAGCATTAAGCCCACATGTATCAATAATCACCCTCAATGTAAATGGAGTGGAATCTCCAATAAAAAGACACAGAGTGGCAAAATGGATTAAAGAACAAGATCCAACAATTTGTTGCCTCCAGGAAACACACCTCAGCTCCAAGGACAAACACAGGCTCAGAGTGAAAGGGTGGAAGACAATACTTCAAGCTAATAGCAAGCAAAAGAAAGCAGGTGTTGCAGTACTTATATCAGATGAAACACATTTCAAAATAAGGCAGGTAAAGAGAGGCACAGAGGGATAATATATAATGATCAAAGGGACACTTCATCAAGAAGAAATAACGCTTATAAATATCTATGCACCCAACACAGGAGCACCAAAGTTCATAAAGCAACTATTAACAGACCTAAAGGAAGATGTTAAAAACAACACAATAATAGTAGGGGACCTCAACACCACACTCACATCAGTGGACAGATCACCAAGACAGAAAATCAAAAAGGAAATCGTGGAGCTAAACGAAAAGCTAAAACAATTGGACTTAATAGACATATACAGAACACTTCATCCAAAAACAGCAGAATACACATTCTCCACAATTGCGCATGGAACATTCTCAAGGATAGAACATATGTTGGGAAACAAGGCAAGCCTCTACAAATTTAAAAGAAATTGAAATAATAACAAGCATCTTCTCTGATCATAATTCTGTAAGGCTAGAAATTAATTACAAGATAAAAGCTGAGAAAGGCACAAGGATGTGGAGACTAAACAATACTCTACTGAACAAGCAATGGATCATTGAAGAAATTAAAGAAGAAATCAAAAAATACCTGGAGACAAATGAAAAGGATAAAATGCCATACCAATTCATATGGGATACAGCAAAAGCTGTATTAAGAGGAAAATTCATCGCAATACAGACACATCTTAAGAAACAAGAAAAGTCACAAATAAGCAACCTTAAACTACACCTAACCAAATTAGAGAAAGAAGAACAAACAAAGCCCACAGTCATCAAATTGCTATCTAAAAGGATTGTACCAATTATGTACTCAATATCAAGAAATTTCTACGGCAGTTTCTCCACATCTATGCCCATAGTGAGTATT